GTGTGTGTGTCCATATGCTTCCCCACTCCCAGCTGGCCCATCTACCTTTTGATCCTGGCAAAATTTGAGCTAACGCGAAAGGGGGGGTAATGATGACTGAGGTCTTCCAGCCCAGGGAAAGAGAAGAGGGAAGAGTGGGGAGTTCAGAATTAGTGGTGAAGGAGAGAGACTTAATGATGATGTACTGGAGTGACAAGATGTTTCCGCTTTGGAATATAGAGGAATTTAGGAATATACTGCTGTGATAAGAGGTTGCTGTGTGAATTAATACAATGAAAACTCATTGGTTGTGGCCATTGATATGGTTGTTGTAGACATCTTGGTAGAGAAACATGTTGATGCAGAATTTAACAAGCATATTCTAGTTTAGTTTAGTAGTGATGGGAAATAATGACCTAAGTGCTGTTTTTTCAGAGATTTGATGGTGGATGAGAGGTTGTTGGTGATGGTTATTCTCAATGCTTTGCTCAGATAGCTCACTTGACACATTTTCCCTGTACTTTTTTGTGTTTTTTAATAATAATGATAATAATGCATTGAGTATCTAGAAGAGTGCTACTGTATATGAAACCAAAGACGCTTCACATGTCATTATTCTTTCACTCAATACACAGTGGTGATACACCACTGCCAGGCCTTTACATTAAGCTTTGTCAGCCACTTGCCCTTCGGACAAGTACCATCTATATTTCACTTGCCCAATGTCAAAAGTTACTTGCCCAAATATTTCTCAATACAATGATTTAACAAGAGTTTGGCAATAAAGAGGCACTAACTGTGTGGAAAAAAATCCACTCTCAGCCCAAAAAGTCAAATAATGACTCACTTAAACATGCTAAATAAAAAAAAAGACGCCTGTTGTGGTGGATTTGTTTTCAACAATTTACTTTTGTGAACAACCAACATGCCTTTTTAATGCAAGCTTTAATTGCAAGAGTTTTTCTTGCGCATAGGTAGGAGACACCGGGGAGACCTGCACTTGCTACTGGCTGGGGATGGTCCTGAACATGCGTCTATGGTTCTGTCTGCACGTCTATGGTCTGCACACGGTACCACGTTACGGCGTTATGTGCGTTCGCTGAGCTGTTGTCAAAGTGGCTGTCATTACAAAGCAGCTGTAGTTGCTCCCGCGGTCAAAACAGAGGATGTAAATCGCGATCGAGTACGTACAGCAAACGACAGAAAGGGCCCGCTGTCACAAATTTCACAGCGGAAAAAAGTCGGGAATTGCGGATCCGTGGAAAAAATTTGAAGAGAATTGATCAAAAAAAGCAGACATGTCTGCTCCGGCTCCAGAGGAAGAAAAGCAGCACCTGGTATTCCCAGAGGTCTCCCATCCTGGTACTAACCAGGCCCTGCCCTGCAGAGCTTGAGATGTTTGATGGGATCTGGCTTTCACATGCAAGATTGGCCATATCACACAATTAATACAATTTAGAAGAAAGAAAAGGAAAAGGAACCATTAAAATTTGTAATAAAATTATGTATATTCTCTGTACTGCTTCCGCTTTAGTATCATGCATACTCGTGGGCTTCCTCCTCAAACTCTGCCAAGATAACCTTTTTATTTGCCCTGTTAAGTACAGGCTGCGAGAGGTGAAATTCAGTTCACAACTAAAATAGTGATGGTGTGAAGTTTGGTGGCCGTGACTCCTATTGAACGTCAAATATCTGATTAATATTAGTACAGTCAAGATTTCATTTTACAGGCTGAACTTCAAGGATTCTCCAAGAAAAGAAGAAAGTAGTGATTATGAATTTGTACTGGGGCAGTTTGTCTAATATTGCCCTCTACCCTCCTTAAGTGTTAAAGTAAACAAATACTTAGCTCGTAATTGAAACATCTCCAAGCAGGTGCCAGACCCCTCCAAAGCCTCTCCAGGAAAGAGGCCTGCTGGGAAACTGAAGCTCTGGCGGTGGATTATGACCTCTGGACTTTTGGACCTCAATGGGAACGAGGGATCTCTCCAATTCCAAATCCACCAATGGTGGGGGTGCAGGAGCTCATCAAGCAGGCCATGTTTTTACGGAGGATAACTGTTTTTCCATAAATCCATCTTAAGCGGTCACATTCTCCCTGCAGCTAATAGGATCATGATGGGAATAATCTTGGCAAATCTGTGCCGGCCTTCAACTCCTTCCTCTCGGTAAATGAACAGTTTCAAGGCTCTTTCCCATAGGGACAGGGGAAGAAAGACTTTTGGCAGCGGGATGGACAAAAAAACAACATGATTTTCTCAAGAGAGGTTTGGTCATTGTTATAAAGACCGGCTTATGCGGTGGTGCTTGTGACTGACGGAAATCAAGCTGTTTGACTACAGTCAGACTTTAATTGGCCTGTTAAAGGGATAGCTTCGTGTTCTCCAAAGATAAAAATGGTTGCTTAAAATGGTTTTTAAACCTAGATGCTTATTAAACTGGAACAAGTGAGGTCTTTGTTGCTCCAAAAACTTCTTTCAGAGGATATCTGTTCCGAGGCAAATGGGCAAGCTCCTTGCTGGATATAAAACTTAAAAGCACGCTGTTTCGATTGAACAAGAATGTTTTACATTAAACCTTTCACTCTCAAAACACAACATTACATTTGAGAATAAATGTTGTAAGAAACTCGTTATTAAAGTCTAGTTCAGGGGTGTCATTAATGCGGGCCGGATGCGGCCCGAAAAGAGATTTGACACGGCCCGCGGCTCATTTATGTAAAATGATAATAATAATTCTAAAAATAAAAGTAATCCGCACCGCAACGCGAGGCTCCGCGACACCACGCGCCGCAACGCTGAGCTCAGCAGCGAGTCCAGTGCGTCTGTAGTGGCTCCCACCGGAGCGTGTTTTGTGTCTCTGTTCAAAAAGGTGAAAAGTGGACATCGAGTGTCGGGTGGAAAAAGTTGAGTAATTCTTAAACATCTTCAACTACGAGACTCTGCACTTTGAGCGGAGAATTGAGAAGACAGAAGATAAACGTGTCTGGCCCTGAAGAAACAGCAGTCTGTTTGTGCCCAGAGCTAGAGGTTAGTGATGCTGCTGTAAATGGAAGCTACCTGAGTGCTAACCATAACATACTGTTGCATTAGCATCGCAGACGCACAGTGAGAGAGAGTTTGTCCAAACTCTTATACAGGCTGCAGACTGTGTCCTGAGAAACGACACGCTTTTACCAACATCATGTTGCCATTGATAAGAGACTGATGTTACTCCATCCATCCATTTTCTTCCCCTTAATCCATTTCTGGGTCGGGGGGGGTGGCCAGAGATGCCACCCAGTACACAGAGCACCAGCCCCTCACTGATCCTCCTGCAGGTGGTGAGTCCACAGGAGCTGAGATCTTTCAGTGGGAGCTTCAGGCAAAGTGGGGTTAAGTGTCTTGCCCAAGGACACAACGACAGCAGTCATCAGTGGGAGTCGTGAAGTAGGTCTTACGGTGGGCTCGAACCCACGACCTTCAGGCTCAAAGGCCAATGCTCTACCAACTGAGCTACTGTCGCCCAGTACTGATGTTACTGATGTTGCATATTCATTTGTGGTGTTACTGAAACTGTCACAGAGGAGTTTTGAGCGCTGCTGCTGGTGCTGGTGCTGTTGTTGCTGGTGCGTTGGACAGTGTGGACTGGTCCTGCGCTCTCAGCCTGGTACCGATGGTAAAGGCTGGTGTTGTGACAAAGCTACAAATGGAGGTGATGATATTTGGACATTTGACTGTATTTTACACAGAGTCCCTGCTGCAGTTGTTAAGGATCACGTTATGGAAGTTGTTTTGATCATTTCAACTGAAACATGGTCAGTTTGATGCTTTCTCTGTGACAATAACATAACCATGGACCTTACCACACTGAAGATGGTTAAGCTGAGGTGCTGTGTTAAAGTGCTTTTTTCTACCTACTTTACCTTTGTGAGCAAGTTTTCTCTGTAATGAGCCTTAAAACAAAGCTAACATACAAATATTAATATAAATATTGTGAAATGCCATTTAGAATGTAATTAATACTGTTTTTTATTTTTTTGTATTTTGCATTATGAAAAACTCACTGTGTTTGTAACAGATTTACAGTTAAAACTGAGTGAGTTTTAAAGGACAGTGTTTTAAAGGAAGTTTTAAATAAATGTGTTTATGTGCACAAAATGTTTGACCGTTTTTGGGTATTTTTGTAGAGCATCTTCTGGTCCTGCCCAGTTGAGATCCAATTAGGTTGTATTTGGCCCCCGGACCAAAATGAGTTAGACACGCCTTAATATTTTCCTTTTTGTTGTCTAAAACAGTAAATTTGACAAGAATATCTGATGCTGACAGAATTTATATTCAATACAATTTTCACAACTAAAAGTAACTCACAATGACATGAAGAAGTACAACTATATTTCAGTAGTACAATATACTATTATACACATTATTATGCAACATTATTGTCATATATTTACCAATTGTTCAATTTTAAATACATCCACTTTCCTGTTTGTCATGTGCAGAGTGCTTTTCAGTATTTCCACAGAAACTCTTTGTCATTTTAGAAAATAGTAGTTATGGTTTTTGCAACATGAAAATACTATGAGAATGTGTGTGTGTGTATTTTTTGTGGAAAATAGCACTCTCTCTGAGCATTGAGCTTCCCCATTCTCTGCTGTCACTCTGGCTGCTCTGCAAACCCCTTATTGTCAAATCAAATGTGGACAGCCTGGTCTGAGCGCGCCATTACAGCCACACACCGGGGCATCCAGGCCACTGCTGCTCGCGCCACTCAAATGGTTGTTTTCAGCACCAAATCCAACTCTTGCCCATATTTCCATGTGTGTAGAACAATCCAAAATACAGACGGTAATTTCAGAATGGACAAGATAATCAGCAGTTATTCAAGCATCCGGAAAGTTGTGAATGGACAAAAGTTTTCTTCTTTGAGCTTGTCATCTTGTATCGAACACATTGTTTGCTCATCAAAAACTGTTAGCCCCACCACAAATAAAACAAAAATGGCCATCTTGAACTTTTTTTCCTTGAATTGGTTCATTCTTAAGCCGGCTCTTTTGTGTACTGGCAGACAGTGAAGGTGACAGCTCTTTGGACCTTTAGCGACGGGACAAAGGTGGCGTCGCGCACACATCCATCTTCCAGGACACAATGGAAGCGGGCAGTTGATTTGTCCAGCCCCGAGCCAGTCCGCGTGGGGCCAGACACCTGCCCAGGGGCGAGCTCTCTGACGGATGGGTCGGCTCAAGGTGTCTTTGAAGGAGTCCATTGTGGAGCCTTTGTTGTGCCGTGTGTAAGCAACCTGCCTGTCCCGCACTTCCACACAACTGTAAAAAGAGGGGGTAAATCCAGCACTGACACCGCCACAATGAACAGCCCGGGACAGGCCTATCAAGCACGCTGAGAAGGAAGACGTCGAGAGGGTTAGACCGGTGTAGAGAAGAGCAAAGTGAAGCAAATTATTTTGCTTGGATAATACTGTGTCTTTTAGCTCCATCCAGTCTAATATCAGGACATTTTGGCAACAATGAATACATGTATATGAAGGGCACAGCAGTTTGTGCTTCACAGCAAGAATGTCCTGGGGACGATTCCACCTCCAGACATTTCTGTGTAGAGTTTGTATGTTCTCTCTGTGTTTGCATAGGTTTCTTCCGAGTGCCCGCACATGACCTGAGCTAGAGGATTTTTACCTATTGTACACATTTTTAGTGGGAAGAAACCTACCCAGACACAGGGAGAACATACAAACTCAACCCAGAATCCTGTTTTGACTGGGATTCGAACCCAGAACCTATCCACTCAGCCATTGTGCTAGGTTTTCCATACATAGGCCATGTACAAAATTGAATCATGCAATTGATCTTTAGTTTATAACTTACCAAGTGGGGGTTTAAAGAAATATCTTGAAAATATGTACTGTGCTTAGGCAAGACACTTCACACAAATTGCCTAGTCTGAGTCTGGGATATGTGTGAATGATTGGTGGTGCTCGGAGGGGACTATGGCGCAGATGATTAGCCTCGTTATTGTCAGTCTGTTTAACTACACAGTAGTTTACCACAGTGTACAGAGTGAGTGAATAATGCCATGTGAAATGTCTTTGGGTGTCATGAAATCATGAAAACCGCCTTATATGCATTATTATTCTGAGGCCCAGTACCATGATGCCATTGTCTAAGGATTCCTCGTAGCGTAAGTTTGAAAAAAAAGTATTTAGACAGAAGACTGAAGGTGCTTAATGAGGGAACAATGTTGAAACATGCTTAATAGCTAAAGAAAATATTATGACAAATGATTCTGGTGTATTGACAAAGTCATTAAAAACAAAAGAGATTTTTTTCTACAGTAGTTGTATTCTTTGAAGCCCCTTGTGCTAAAAAATGAATGCGCGTTCCCAAAACCTCACCTGCACCGCGCATTGTTCTTCCGCACTCGTCTTTGTGTCTGCGGCGTCTTATATGTGTTGTCAGTCGTGCTTCACTCGTGTCCCCGGGCCCCGTCAGCCTTCTTCCAGGATCGGCACCACGACGGGTGATCGGCGGCCATCTTGTCATCTCCTCACATGTCCCGCGCCCCATAGACAGCTGAAGAAAGGGGGGAGATGACAGCACAGTCACTTCAAGGGCCGATCTCCGCTGTCTGACAGAGGCTTCAAAGAGCAAAGGGTGCTTCCATGTTAGCACAGGGACAAGCTAATGTTAGAGATAATCAAATAGTATGTGCACCAATTACTTTCCCTCTGGTTTAGCTGTACAGAATACGTTTTGCCTAAATGTGCAGATATGTTTGTGAAATCCGCTCTTGATGTTATGAAGAGATGTGTTTACTAGAAAGTACAAGTGAGTGCACTGGATGCGGTGGATAAAGCACTTGTAGAACATATGTAGTGCTCTACTTCATACTATATACTTTATTAAATTGTGCCAACATTTAATATATTAATAATAGAACAAAGCTTTTATATCAAAATGAAAACACTAGATGAAGTGCAATGTGAACTACAGTAATAATCTATTAAAAATATCACTTCATTATTCAGAACAACATATTAAAAAGATAATCTACACGCCAAGTGCCATTTACTTTGGCTATAACACTACAATAATTAAAATCTCAAAATGACCCTTCACCATTAGCAACGACTTTCCGGATCAGGACTCCCCGATTGTTTTCATCCGGACCTAGAGTATTTTTCAAATCAGGCAGAATTACTGTACATTTATTAAACATGGTCGGCGTGGAGATTTTTCATAGTTTGACCAAATGTAATAATTCCCTCTAATGCAGCACTGCTCATTAACCCCAATTACTCTTCCAGGAGGCTATCAACATGGCTTTCTCATAACTCCAGCTGCTCCACTCGTTAGCAGGTTTAATCTGGACCGGGACGCAAGCCAAAAGGGAAAAAGAAAAAACATGAGGTTAATCACCCTGAATTATTCTCAGAGAAAAGTCATTTGCCCATTCTTTGGTGTGTCCTTTGGCTAAGATTACAGACGATGCTTTCAAGTGAGCAGAGACTTGTTCTAAGGGGTTAACATGTTTCTGAAAATGACTGTCATTCATTTGGGAAAGGTTTAACATAATTAGTCTTTGTCTTGTGTATTTAAACTTTCCCAAATTGCTCAGACAACTCATGTACCAACCTAAAGCAGGTCAGAGTTGCTAGAGAGTTGCAAACTAGGGGCTATTTTGTATTTGGAATTAAACTTTGGAGCTGTAATTTCTATTGAAAATGGCAATCATGCACGTGAATACACTTTTGACAAACATAGAAAAGCAGCTTTGCTTACTTTGAGCCATGGGTGGTTAATGACCAGTTTTCATCCACTTGCGATTTATTTATTTGTTTAATCTTTTTTGGGGGGTACAGGACTTCCGATCTATTAGGCTACACTCAGACAGAGTCAGTGATACAGTATTTGTATAAGTCTCAGTACTTGTGGTGGACAAGGCCTATTGCCAGAATCTGGTTGAACTGTTCTCTAAAAAGTCATTGAAATGCATTATGTGATTAAGGTCTTCTTGCTGTGATGAAGCAAGAGTGCGATCCACTCAGCCACCGTGTGGTTTTCCCTTGGATGAACATGCTTTTGCGTTCACACCCCCAAATAGCTCAGACTATAGACACTGACAGACCACGTGACCAACGCGCAATAGTGGATGCAAAGGGGGAGCAGAAACACAACAGAGTGAGCTGTGAGTTGACAATATCAGATTGTCATCTTCATGAAGCTCATTATTGTTTCTGCACAGGTACAAACTCAGATCTCTGTGGTGACTACTCTCCCTGAGAAGCACTTCGCCTACACACACAAGGCTTTACCATAAGTTAAGATAAGATAAGATTTGCTTTATTTATCTCACAAAGGAGAAATGTACATGTCACATTGGCGTGGATAGAAACACTCAGATTATGCAAAAGAAAGAAATGTGCAAACATGTTACATGCAGGATAATTATGTACATCAAAAGTGTCAATTGGAAACAGTGTCAATAGTAGTGCAGGTTTTCACACAGTGACCATTGTGACTTATTGTACAGTCTGACAGCGGTGAGGTGCCTCAGTCTTCCACTGAAGGAGCTCCTCAGCTCCTCTACAGTCCTGTGCAGTGGGTGGGAGGTATTGTTCATGATGGAGGTAGCTTTGGCTAGCACCCTCCTGTCCCTCACCTCCTCCACAGAGTCCAGGGAGCAGCCCAGAGTGGAGCTGGCCCTCCTGACCAGCTTGTTCAGTCTGTTTCTGTCCCGCTCTGTGCTGCCCGGGGCCCAGCACACGGCAGCGTAGTAAATGGCAGAAGCTACCACAGAGTCATAAAAAGTCCTGAGCAGAGGCCTGCTCACTCCGAAGGACCTCAGCCTCCTCAGAAGGAAGAGGCAACTTTGGCCCTTCTTGTGCAGGGCGTTTGTATTATGGGACCAGTACTTCTGCAGGTGACAGCTGTGTGTGTCGTGTGTGAAGTCTGAGGTGTAGATGGTGAAGAGAAACGGTGAGAGGACAGTGCCCTGAGGGGCCCCAGTGCTGCAGACGACCACCTCAGACTCACAGCTGCGCAGCCGCACGTACTGTGGTCGGTCTGAGAGGTAGTTGATGGTCCATGCAGTGAGGCTACTGTCCACTCCCGCGTCCTCCATCTTCCCCCGCAGCAGTGCCGGTCTGATGGTATTGAAAGCACTGGAGAAGTCAAAAAACATGACCCTCACAGCGAGTCCCTCACATGAGTCTGAACCATGAGTCTGAACGAGGACTGGTTTTGGACTTAAACAGGTCTTAGTCAGATTTAAACCAGGACTAGATTTTGGCAACAAATCCCACTGAATGTATGTGATTCTTGTTGATAAGAGATTCGAATTTTAAGATAATTTATTCGTTCAACAGTGCTGCATTACAAGTTACAAAAATTTGCCCTTTTGATGCATTTTAGACCTGAATTTGACAGGCTTCACCTGGTACATGCGATTGGCTGAGCTCTGTAGTGTGAATGAACATGGGCAGTACTAGAGACAAAGCTCACAATTATTATTTGCTAGTCAATTTTGCCACAAATTCTTTTACAGTGTGAATGTGTCCTGACTGGTGGCTGTGCTCTAGACACAAATTGCAAAGTTACGACAAACAAAGATCAAATGAAAGTGATGGAAACAAGAAACGAGGAACATCCTCGGCCGATTACCGGGTCGGCACCACACGCTACAATTAGTATGGCTCCAAACGCTGGACGGGCGTTTAAAAGGGCAGCCGAGCGCCCTGAAGTGCTGGGATAATTAGTGCGCTTGGAGCTGACAAGAGAACAAGGCTTCAGTGAGAGGGAGCAGCCCAGTGGAGGAGGACGGAGAGGGGGAGAATACAAGAGGGTGAAAAGATTGTGGAGAAATAAGGAGTGAGCAACGAAGGAAATAAGGTCGATTGGGTTAGCCATTGCTTTCTGATTGGACTAAAAGTATTCAAACCTGACTGGCTATTCTACTCAAGCAAATCTTACTGGTGATGCTTATTGACCAGATGCATCGACGTCATCTGGTCACGTGATTGTGCTTGAGCTCACGTCGGAAGTGGTGGAAACTAGCATTGCAGCAAGAGCAAAATGAACTACAATTCTTAAAAACGGAGCTTCCTCTCCTAAATCGAGAAGTGGCTGCTTCAAGCACATGTTCGATTACGTTATAGGTGGAAGTAGGACTTTCAGGTCAGGGCTCACAAAGAGTGGTATTTGGAGAAGTTAAGGATCGCCTAACTGGATGTTGACCCGTACCTTCTCCCCCCAGTCAATTTTATCGATTAAATGAAATGTCTAATTTTACTCGAGTTCACCCCACATGATCTTTTTCATAATGTTAACAATGCATCCCCTCACACTGGAGCAGATTTATATATACATTTTGCTGGTAGCATTAGCGCATTAGCAATAGTCCACTTTTCTGTGGCTTTTCTGTCTACGGCCAAAAATGATACATGTTGACGGAGAGGAAAATAGTGAAAAACGCAACTGACGTCTAAAATAAGATAAGAGATCCTTTATTCGTGACACAGTGGGGACATTTCAATGTTGCAGCGCACATACAGGACAGTAGTAAGAGACACGTTTGACGTGTGTCATTGTCCTCCAAATGAATGGAAATTAAAAAAATACAAACTTGTGATTGATTTATTTTGTAAAAAGTGTTCACTGCATATTTGAGAGTACTTGGATGGGTCCCAGTCATTTTGGTTGATTGCCGTCATCGTCGTCTTCTGTCTTCATGACGAGCAGGTATCAGATAAAAACACATTCGGCTTATGTCCTTGCCTGTTAGTACAACCAACCGCACTGCAAAATATTACAGTTTTGGCTGTAATTTGCCAAAACATGTTATTTTGGTCAGGTTTCCGTGGGCTCGCAATTAGACTTCCTCCGTCTATCATGGAGAGTGGGCGTGGTCGGGACGTCACATTTACCGGGTCAATACCAAAGGTAGGGACAGGGCAATTTTAGAGATCCAGTTGTGCTTGAATGTCTCCACCCCCCAGTTCTCAATAGCTTGTATTGCCCTTTTAACATCTGCGACAGCTTGAAGTCTTTTGAGGTAGTTGTGGAGGTTCTTCATCCACTCTGATGGTAATTTTGCCCATTCTTCTTGGCCAAAATGTTCTGTCAGAACGACCTCCAGTTCCTGTAAAATCCTGGGCGTCTTGTATGAACTGTACATTGTAGATTTCTCCAGAGGGCTCAATGATTTCAAAATCCGACAAACATATTTGACTTCACACAATCACTAGCGATGAGTGAAAAACATTCTGTAAATCAGTCAATCACCAAAATATGGACAAAAGAAAGACATCAAAAATAACCTTAATTGGGACAGGGCCAGTAAATCCATTTAGAATCGGTGACATCAGCTTTAAAGGTGAGGTCTGCCACTTCAATTGTATTTTTAAAATAATGCATTATTTTGACCAAATGACCATGGAATATTGCACAAGTATATTTCAAAAATAGTATATTCAATATACATTATATATTCCCTCTCCTTGGCATAACCACCACTATTAAGATTTGCTAGTGGAGGAGTTGGACCAATGGCAAGGGGCCTCATCGCT